CCCCCCCGGGGGCCCGCGCCGTTATTTATAAATCATTAACTCTAAAAGGCACAAAATCCGCCACTTATTTACCACCACCACCGATCATCCGCCTACTGAAAATAACAACTAAACCACCCGAGCACACCCATCATCAGCGATGTCACAACCCGTTGGTTCCATCCTTCTACACTCAGGAAGCGTCTCCTGACGACCAAAAACCACCGATTGCTGTGAACGACACATTCCCGAGCATAACCATTTGCATCTAATGCAGAATCCAAGATTAGGGTTGAATTTAATTGGAAATTAATTCCCACAATTATGTCGATGAATTGGATATTTATGTGTGATCTGTATGTGTGCGAGTCAGTACGTTTAGTTTGTAATTTGCCACTAATTTGGTAGATAGTTGAACTTCAATTTGTGGATTTTTTAATTTTTTTTTATGTTTGGTTTACCAAGTGTATGACTGGAAGTCTGAAATTGAAGCTATTTTTCTCCTTGCGTTGGTTTAATTAGGCTGCAATTGTTTTAATAGGAATGTTTGAAAGTTCTCTATGATTAGTCTGTGAGTGCGTGTGCGCACACTTTTTTTGTGGGTGTTTAACAACATTCATTAGGAAAACTGTTGGCTTGCTAATTCTTTTGCAGAAAGAGAAAATAACTGAATCTGAGATTACTGGGGACAAAGAGTGAAGGACGCTGATAATAGGGAAAGATGCTTCAGATACGGCTTAGCAAGGTTCCATCCTCAGAATTTGGTGGAGGGGCAAAGCCATTGACAGTGGACAGTGTGACAGTTGCATGTCCTGAACACCTTGTCCTTGCTGATCTTCCTGTAGCCAAGAGCGTTGGTTCTGCAACTGCTGCTTCCCTTGTCAAGACTGTAGGTCGCAGGTCCCGTCGCCAACTTGGTGAGCGAGTTCATTTTTGTGTCCGATGTGATTTTCCCATCGCCATATATGGACGTCTGGTACGTGTTTAACATTGCTATCTCTTCCCTGCCATGCTTTAGCCTGTGTTAATGAAGTTTTCTTTCTTCTTTCAAAGCTTAAGCATGTTTTGCAATCCGACTTTTAGGAAAAGAAGAGAATAATATACAAGTGGTAACTGTGGAATAGGATTTTGAATGTTTTCTATTTATATCAAGTATTCAAGCTTACTTGTGTGGGTTGTGTTCGAGCACGTTTCATTGTGGAATGACTAATTTAATAAGGAGAAGCTTTTTTGCTTAATTGTTCCTATCCTGTCTTTCTATACACAGACACTCACACTTGCCAATGAACCTAGATGCAGATGCATCCCCCACCACCCACGCACACTTGAGGAGGGGGTTAATCTCTGTTTTGTAGGTCTGTTAAGATGCTCCCTCCTACTTGAACGTGCATTCAAAATCTCTTTCAAGATCTCTACATGTGTCTCATTTTTCAAATTCATTTAGTTACTCTGATTTGTTTTGTTGTCCTTTTTCCTCCTTTTGGGATTAGAATTGAGTTCAAGTGGATGTTCTTTAATACTGATAGAGTGAACTCCTATAAGCTTTTTATCTGTTCAGACCATCTTTTGTTTCCGTAGCGGTTGTTGCTACAGACAAATACATTCTGGATTCATCATAGCCGGTTTCATTTTTTGAATGTTGATAAGTTTATGTTCTTGCAGAGCCCTTGTGAGCATGCATTCTGTCTGGATTGTGCCAGGAGTGATTCCATCTGCTATCTGTAAGGCTTATTCGCTCTTACTTTGGATTGTGATATGCATTTTGTTCGTAGATTTTAAATATCATACTTTCTTACATGAATAATTCCACCATTTGGTCATGTTTGCAAGTTAGGAATGTTTGCTGGGGGGAAATATCACTCCTCCAAGGTGCTGTGAAAATTGTTAAAATAAATAGCCAAAAAAATGGAACATTTCCATTGTTGTTAATAAAACATTACAAGGTTCTTTTCAGAACATTTGTCGAAATTGATTTGTACAAAGAATATAAGCAAAACCTTCCAAGACTTGGGTAGAGCTTTCCATATCTCAAGTTCCTACCATACTAGCATTATGGTGGGAATGTTACCTTTTACCCTTATATTTTCAATCTAAGTTGTATATGTTTTGCTGCTAATCTTTGTCGTAAGACCATCTCCAATGGAGATCCATACCCTTACCCAAATTTGAATAAAAAAAAGGTAAAAAACTTGATTTCGTATAGACCTCTTCAAAGTAGAAACTCAAATCTAAAGAAAAAAAAACTCAAATTTAAATAAGGACAAATCCAAATTTAAAAGAAGGTAAAATATGACTACTAAATCTCTAAAGGAGGGTGAAATATCAACATTAAATATTTGAGTATTTATTTGAGTCTCTCTTAATTTAAGTTAAAAAATGAGTATTTATTTGAATCTCTCTTGATTTAAATAAAAAAATGAGTCTTCCTTGATTTGATATGAGTATAGGTCTAGTATTGGAGAAGGTTTTTAAGAGTTTTATACCCAAATTTAAATTTGGGTTTAAAAAAAAAAGTAAGGATTGGATATGCTCTAAGACCATAGCTATTCAATGCAGATTGCAAATGATATAACATGGTAGGATAAATTCATCTGGTCACACTAATGGGTTTAATGATGAGTAAAATTACCATATTAGCAATATTTTTTGGCTATTTATTACCCTCACATGCTATGAGCGCATGTTTCACTCACATGTTGCGTGAATATTTAATCCATTTTTTTTTGTAGTTTTATGTGATATCTATATTCTTAACGTCTTAGTTGGAAACTTATAAAACTGGCCTTCTTGTCAAGTACTATTAAAGCTGCCCCCCAACAGGGGTAGTTAGAGGATCAAGTTCCAGTAGTTTTCAAATTATGTAAATTATCACAAGGATAAATATACATGACAATTAAATCTTTTTTTGGTCATCTGCTGTGAATTTTTAGACTGAAAGATTATAGTAATCAATAATACTGATTTTTTTTATGCACAACTTGTAGCAAACGTACGTAATTATTATTATTGCTCTTAGATTCTGAATTCTCTCTTCTTTAGTAAAACTTTTATTGCCTTTTTTTCTGTTATTAGTAAATCTCAAGGACAACTTTAACGTGATTAGTCTTAACAATTATATATTCTCTCACACTATAAGATAGTCTTAATTATTGTTAATTACATGTTAACACGTGTTTATTGTTTAGTAGTAGACACAACCTAAAGAACTAAAGAAGTGTTGGACATGTTACCACACGAATGTTGGTTACATGCCTGAAATTAAAATTTTGTCGTTTAATTGTGGACATGGATAAAAAAGTATGGAACACGTATTCGTGAGTGTACGAGGAGTGTCGGTGTCCAACACGAATACGTCACCTTTATAAGAGTGTCCATGCTTCTTACACAAAGCAGAATGGCTACAAAGGATTTTTGTAGCCGACCTCCGATAATTAAGGCAAAGTTTGGTTTGGTTTGGTTTAATAAGCAGTTTGCTTTAATAAGCAGTTTGCTTTTGTAGTATCTCTCCCCAATTTTTTATTTTATTTTTGGTCGGAGTTACACCCCTGAATGAAGGGTGCAGGGTTTGACCCTGACCAGGATGTGAATGTGTAGTTATTATTAGGCTATTAGCCATTTTCTTATAATGTTTATAAGTTATTTGCTCGAACTTGTACAAAATGATTAATGAATAGGCTAAGAAACTTTTTCTTATGTCTCTTGTCACAGCTGTGATGAACGCATTCAAAAGATTCAGACGATCAAAATGATGGAAGGGATCTTCATCTGTGCAGCCCCTCACTGTCTCAAATCTTTCCTGAAGAAGGCTGAATTCGAGTCTCATATTCATGAGAGGCATGCTGACCTCCTTCATCCTAATGCAGAGAAAGATGGAAATGAGTCGGATGCTGTCAGTGCCAAAAGAACTATGGTTTCAGATTCCACTGTTCAAGCACCACCCAGGCCAGTCTTTTCTCCTAGTTCAAACTCCCAGTTTCATGATCGTGAAGACAAAGCTTATCGTCTGCAGCTCAGAGACCAACCACCTTCCTGGCCGGGCATGCAGCCAAAGCTCACACCACCAGGGCAAATCCAAAATCTACCATCAGAGCCACAACCTGACAACAATGGACCCCAAGGCTTTGACAGATCAGGCCCCCCAAACCGTTTTTCCCAACAGAGTTTTGACTCACAGGGTAGCATGCAGCAAGATTCTGGTCAGTTTCCAGACAAGCAGCGAGGGATCCTATCTAGGACAGCTTTTCCTGAATATCCTATGCATCCCCATCAGCCTCCTAATTTTGCTGTTCCAATTACTCCAAACCCAGGTCTGGTTCCCCCTCCATTCAATTATCCTCCTTTTGCACCTGATGGAGCTCAACCGTACTATGGTGCTCCCTATGAGATGGCACGGCCAGATTCAGCACCAGAAGTTGGATCAGAGCAAGGATCACTGTTAGGTTTTCCACCAGGTCCACAAGGAGGCATGAATTTTTCAGAAAATTATCCTCGACCCTGGAATTTTGGACCAGTTGGTGTGCCTTTTGAACCTTCTCCTTCAGCTCAAGGGATTTTGAACATGTCAGATTCTCAAGGAAGAGTTGCCTTCTTTCAAGGGGATTATGGGCGGAATTCAGGAGCTTTGCCTTCAAACCTGCCTCCCCTACATGCGGGAAATAAGGGGATAGAGCCCGTGCAGGGTGGAAATCCCATGGATGGTGAGGGTATCTTGGCGCCACAGCCTTTGCAGCTCCCGCCACCACCTCCTTTACCTCCTCCCCACATGTCACAACTCAACCAAGGTCAGTTTTATTCTGGTGAAATGGGTCATGACGGACAGAGCTTCAGGTGGCAGCATGAGAAGCGTGATAGCTTTGGAAGTGGGCAAGATTAGTGAATTTGTTGATTTTCATATGGTTTTGGATGTACTTTTCTTCTGAACTCGTAGAACACCATTCTATTACATGTGGTTTGTATCTTTTGGTTCAAGGAGAACCCATGTCTCCAATTACTATCCTTACATGGGAGCAGGGTTACACTCACATCACATGCCATGCTTAATCACAATTCCCAATCTATACAAATTTGCTTTGTTTCAAAGCCAAAACAATCTCTCCGCATAATGAACTATTTTACAACGCGAAACGTTCTTTCCAATCAAAACAAAGTCTTTGGTGGTTCATTGGACTATTTTATCAACTACCCTATGAATTTCACCCGAAGTCACGACGACGCAAACAGGCCAATGTAGTGTAATCTTTTTGTGAGCCTAACTTGAGCATAGACTCAACCATTTTGGATTTGGTCAAGCTCGAATGGTGTTATTTTAATATTCATGCTAATTAAAACTTGATGCAAAAATCATTCATACAAGATAAAAAAAAATTTAAAAACATACATTTTCATATAATATCAATTAAATAAATAATTCGTATTTATTGCTAATTCAACCGAAATTTTTTTAGGGTTAAAAATCATATCTTGTGCTGATGAATAAAACTGAAATTGGGAAATCCAAATCATGGATGGAGCCCAATGAGAACGACCATCGAAGGCATCGAGCCAACACACGTGTACGAGCTATGTGTCAAACTAAAACACTCAACTTCACGTCTTGGTGGGGGTGGTAAGTTTATCCAAAAAACCCAAAGGGAGAGGTGGTAAATAACCCGAATTATTCAATTTCGGTTCGAATTCAATTCATTTTAAGTTTGACTTGAACTTATTCGTTTAATTTTTTAGATTTATTTTAAAAACAATCTCTGTAAAGTTTACTCGTTTTAGGTTCGAACTTATAAAATTTGATTTATTTATATTAAAAATAATATCGGCTCGAATTCAACGTATTTTTGCGCTCGACTCAAATTCAATTTTTAAAAAATAAAGTTGAAGAGGTTAAATCTCATGATTACACGTGACATAGCATTAAATGTGCTCACGTGATGTTGACAAAACAAAACACGTGATCAAGAATCCTCTATCGAGCTTTTTAACCGAGTCGAGCTAATTAAATGTTCGGCAATGGTAGAAAAAGATCGGCCCTCTTTATGACCGAACTCATCAATTTGTTCAGCTAAGCAATGAAAGAGCTCGATTTGTACCAAGCCGAGTCCGTTAAAGTGTTCGGCAAGACAATTGAAGAGATCGGTTTGTACCAAATCAAGTCCTTTAATCTGTTCAGCAAACATCAAATGTGCTCAGCATTCGATATGACCGAGCTGTTTCAAATAATAAAGATAAAGATAAAGACTCGCCTATAACTCAGGCAATCAGATAAGAGCATCTGAGAAATTGAAAATATTAAGAGAAAATAATTGAGAAATATCATTAACTTTTCAAATCGAATCACTGAATTGAAAGAAGGTGTGCCACTTTGAATCAAAAATTATGGAAACCCTAAGGGGATGTCTAGCTATAAAAAGCGAAAGGAGTCAAGAAGAAAGGTACGCTGAACCTTCCTTGTCTTCTTCCATTTATTTTATTATCATTACTGACTTAAACATCAGAATGCATTCGATCGAAACACTTCGATCTTGGGCAGTTTGTTCATTTTGCAGGAAGAGGAAGATTGGGAGATCAAATTCAGAAACTCATAAACATTTCAATTCCAGTAGGAGGTAATCTCAATTTTTTGCCCCTTACATTTGGCGCCGTCTGTGAAATTTTTTTCATATTTTGTAACAAGAAGCCACGATGTCTAAACTCAGAAACGCAATTGGTTCACCTAGAGGCAATTTTGCCTTGGGAGACTTCGATCCTGCATCCATCCCACCTGGAAGCAACACACGATTTCAAGCAAGAGGAAACCCTTCTAAATCCCATGAAGGTGAAGATGTCTTCTGCCAGTTTCAAGCCCTTAAGGAACCAGAACCATCAAATTGAAGATCATAGTGAATCCCTCCATGCCGAGGGGGAAAACCACTCCCTGGTGAAGTTGGTTCAGTCCCTGCAAGACAGACTCGATGCCCACGATAAGTTGTTCAAAAAGTCTTATGCCAGGAAAAAAAATGTGATCAAAGAAAATGAAGAACTCAAAACCCGAATAAAAGAGTTGACTAGGAAAGAGAAACGTGTGAGGGAAAGCCATTGGAAAAGTCCTAAAAGGAAACCCGACAGATATAGAAGTAACAATGAAGATCGTCATCAGCAGAAGAAACCTCGGGTTCAAGAGGAGGTTGAATGGAAGCAGTATATTACCGAGGAGCTTAACAACCGTTTGAGAAAACCATAACAGAGATCGGCTAGGGATTTGGCAAGAAGAGTGACAGGAGAATATGGAGACAATTCGGAGTCATCTCCATTTACAGTTTGGATTGAAAAGGGACGGATTCTGAGCAAGTTCACCGTCCCAAACTTTAGACTATATGACGGAAAGACCGATCCAGCCTCGCATATCAGGCATTACAGACAGCTGATGATCATTCATCGAAAAATGAGCCCCTACTCTGCACTATCTTCCCTAGCAATCTTGGAGGATCAGCCATTAAATGGTTTGACAGCCTGCCAAAGGGAACTATCAATGGGTGATCTCAGTTAGCCGAACAGNCAGCTGATGATCATTCATCGAAAAATGAGCCCCTACTCTGCACTATCTTCCCTAGCAATCTTGGAGGATCAGCCATGAAATGGTTTGACAGTCTGCCAAAGGGAACTATCAATGGGTGATCTCAGTTAGCCAAACAATTTACAGCTCGGTTCATAACGAGCAGCAAGCAACCGAAGGATGTTGGAGCACTTTTGATGTTAAAAAAGAAGAATAACGAAAGCTTGTGAGAGTATGCTCATCATTATTGGGAAACTATGAATGAGGTTGAAGGGTGCAATCCAGAGATTGCAGTTGCATCCTTAAAGATCAGGTTTTCGAAGGAGAACCCCCTATATCAGTTGCTCACAAGAAGGCCAGCCACGGATCTGGAAGAGTTGATGTCTAGGATTGAAAAGTATGACAAAGTCGATGACGACTTATCCAGGGACGGGATTAAAGAACATCCGAACAAGAAATAGTTCGGCAGAGACAAGCAAACCGAGCCAAACAGAGAGGGAGGAAGGAAGAATGACAAGGAGGGATATCCTCAGAAGTCCCCATTCCTGGGAGTAAATATATTGTTCAAGGAACCAATATACAAGATACTAAGCCAGATCAAGACAAAACCATTTTTCAAATAGCCAAACAAATTAATGGGAGATCTTTCTAAAAGGAATCCGAACTTCAGGTGTTCATATCACAGGGATGTGGGTCACATGACTGAAAACTACCGGTCTCTGAAGCACCATTTGGAGGAACTGGTCTAGCCTGGACATCTCGCCGAGTCCATAGGAGGTAAAAAAAAATTCGATGGAGGGAGGATTGAGGCAACTAGGGACCACAACACTCCAGCAGGGGTAATTGATGTGATTCATGCTGCCATCAACCCGCATATGTCCACAAATAATTCTGTTCGGGCTTACATCCAAAAAACTATCATTGAGAGAGAGGTGTATGAGTTGCGATTGACCCCAGAGGTGACCAATAAAAGAATCAAGATAGAGGAGTCAGTTGAAGCAATCTGTTTCACCGAGTAGGACTTGGTCGGAGTGCACCAACCACACAATGACGCCCTAGTTGTTACGCTTCAGATTGCGAACTTCAATGTGAGAAGGGTGCTGATTGATTTGGGGAGTTCGTCAAAGATCATGTATTCAAATCTATTTGAGAAACTTGGACTTAGAAAGGAGGATCTCAAGCCTTCAAATACTCCACTTATCGGATTTAGTGGAAAAATAGTTCTACCTAGGGGGAAGATCACATTGTCTGTAAAGACAGGACTAGTTTACATCATGACCGAGTTCCTAGTGGTAGATACGGTCTCTGCGTATAATGCGATAATAGGGCGGTCTTGGCTACATACAATGAAGGCGGTACCCTCAACGTACCACCAGATGCTGAGGTTCCCTTCAACTGAATGAGTGGTCAATATCCGAGGAGATCAGGTCAGTTTTAGGACTTGCTTGTTAGTCTCGGTCAAACTGAAAGGAGGAATTAAAGCGCACGAGAAGAACTCAATGTCTGAGGAGGCAAAATAGTAATTAACCTTAAACAACTCGGTTAAAAAAATCGATCAAGCTATCAAGGAAAGCCCTAAAGTACCTTTAGGCACCGAAAAGGAAGTTACAGACCGAACAATTGAAGACTTGACTAAAGTACCTTTAGGCAAGGATGGGGACCCTGAAAAGTACTTTTTGCTTGGGACTGCTCTAAGTCTCGAGTAGAAAACCAAGCTCGTAGCTCTTTTACGAGAGTATGCTGACATTTTTGCATGGACCACTTCTGATATGTTTGGCGTATCGTCAGAAGTAGCATGTCATCAGTAGAACGTCGACCCAAGCTTCAAGCCAATCAGACAAAAATTAAGGAGGTTGGCCCTACAACATCAGGAGACGGTGAACGAAGAAGTAGTATGTTTATTGGAATCCCGAACAATCAGGGAAGTTCAATACCCGACCTGGCTATCAAACACTGTTGTGGTTAAAAAGAAAAATGAGAAGTGGAGGGTCTGTGTTGACTTCACCAACCAAAACAAAGCATGTCCAAAAGATAGTTTCTCCTTCCCAAAGATAGATCAGTTGGTAGATGCCACCATTGGGCACGAGCAGATGAGTTTCCTGGACACCTATAGGGGATATCATCAGATCCCCCTAGCAGAGGAAGATCAAGAAAAGACTGTCTTTATAACACCAAATGGAACGTACTGTTACAAAGTAATGTCATTTGGATTGAAGAATACTGAGGCAACATATCAGAGGTTAGTAAATAAAATATTTTCACATATGATAGGTAGTATAATAGAAGTTTATATTGATGATATGGTGGTGAAAATTCGGAAGGCAGCAAATCACTGTACCGATCTCAAAAGCACATTTGAGGTTCTGTGAACGTACAACATGAAATTAAATGCTTCAAAATGTGCATTTGGAGTCGGCTTGGGGAAATTCTTGGGATTCCTAGTTACTCACAGAAGAATAGAGGTGGACCCCGACCAGGTGAAGGCTATTGCCGAAC